CGGAAGCAATTGAACAAAGTTTGAGTCCAGTGGCACCTTTAAGACCAACAAAGTTTAATTCTGGGTATAAGCTTTCATATGCATGCTCATACTCAGAATTAAACTTTTTTGATCTTAAAGGTGCCACTGGGATCAAACTTTGTTCAAGATGTAAATAATTCACCTAGTTTCACATAGATGGTGCTTCTGGCTCTGTGAAAACCTTGCTTTATACTTGCTATCTAGCTGTAAGATACATTATGATGCTATCCAACGGTTGTTGATGTTCTCCTGAGATTCACATTAAGTTTCCATACATGATCTTCTTGTTTAGCAACTGCAATTTTTTTGGTTAGGTTTCCCAGTGGAATTCAAGGTTGTCACAGACATTTTGCTAATAAGACTTTCCTGTGCCTGATTAACCAAGATAAAAAAAATTATTTTTGAAAACAAGATTTCATAATATATTTTATAGCATTCCTACCTGTCTCAAACTAAGATTAGGGAACATTAAAATAATTATCTAAAAATACCATCATTATTTTGTATTCTGTTGATCCTAAAGTGGGGAGGGGGATATAATAATGCACAATATTTATATCTCAACTGGAGAATTACCATTGCAATGATGAACCGGGTAATTGGGAGGACATAGATAGGCATACACAAAGTTTCTCTTAGTAGAGAATGGGCCACCAATTGTTGAAATATTGGTATATTCTCCTCCTCCATATAAACAGTGATGCTTTCAAAATTCTCTTCATTCAAATTTCTCCCCAGGGTTTGAGTTCCAAATTGTCAGGTCCTGTTTCCAAAGGCACTAGAATTCCTCCAATAGTCCATTATTTGTTTCTGGATTTTGTGTGCAACACCATGCGTGCCCTATTTGCCAAAGCTTTCACTTCTTTTATGGCTTTTTTCATCTGAACTTTACCAATGTTTATATAACACTTTAAAAATAGTGATATGAATACATGTATAGTTGCATTTTGTGTGGCATTTTACCAAAGTTCAAGAATGCATGTATACATCCCTGAAACAGACCACAAAAGAGGATCTTGCTACAAAAATACATGTAATCACATTGAAGTTACTTGGGGGGGGAGTAATTGATACACAAAGTGCATCGTTAACCTAAGGAGAAAAAATTAAATTAATTAAAAAGAAAGAAAGCAAGGGAAAAATGCATAATCCAATTTCAAATTAGTTTTAGGAATACTACTAGTCACACGGAAACTAAAGTGGAATGGAAAATAAGGCTGAGGAATGACAGGAAACAATAAAGTAATAAGAGAAACAAGAAAGGGGACCCGTGAAAATCACGGGGGGAGGAGCGGGGGAGCTCCACACAGAGCAGGCGGAGGTGGAAGAAGCAGGTAAGCTTCCCCCCATCCCGTCGGTTCCCCCGTCTCCTCCATCCCCCTCCACTACCATCCCTGGCTCGCCGGGGGCCCCCTCCCCAGTCTCTCTCCCCCCTCCAAGCAGCCTCGGCAGTCTCTCCCCCCCTTTCACCTCTGAAGTGAGGCCTGCGGCTTTCGCCGGTCTCTATCTCCCCTCCCCCTCGCCTCCTCCATGCAGGCGCAAGTGACCCCCCCTAAAAAAAGCCTCCCGATCTTAAACGGGCCTAGCCTGGCCGCGTACCTCTTTCTCCTGGCCTCTCTCGTGAGAAGTGAAGCCGGGAGGATCGCAAGCTGGTTGTGCGTTCTCTCTCTCACTCCCTTCCTTTGCCAGCTCGTCCCTTTTCACTGAGGCAGTGTCGGTGCTTGCCCAGGGTGGCCGCTCGCTTCCCTTCATGCCTTTGAGGCATCGGGGCGCTTCTGCCACTGCCGCCAGCAAGCGGGCTCGTTGCAGGCGCTCGCCATGGTTGAGGCAGGGGAAGAGTCCGGAGGAGGAACAGCCACGATGGCCATCTCAGAAGGGCTGAGAGTGGCAGCAGGGGAGGGAAGTAAGTACGCTGCTGGGAGGGTGGTGTGTGTGTGTGTGCTTCGCTATGCGTTGTCTTGTCTTGTGGGGACTCATTGTGTCAACAGCCACTGCAAGCCTTCTCCATCCCTCCTGTCGGCTGTGGCGGCGGCGGCGAGCCCGGCTGCAGAGCGTTTCCTGTGCATGCGCAGGAAACGCTCTATCAGTTTTGGGGGGATTTAAATATCCCCCGATATTTTTTGGGGGGGGTTAGATTTTTGTGCACACCTGGGACCCGCCCCACGTGTGCACAAAACTCTCCCTCCCCCCCAGCTGCCCCCGGTGCACGGATTTAGGTATCCGCACACCAGGGGGCGACTTCAGTATTAGATATATAGATATGCTTATCCCTAACTGCAATGCGTCCCTATATTCAGTGATTTACTTTTCTCATACAAATGAATGGTCTTTCCAAGGCTTACTGATTGCAGCCAGTTTATTTTGTCCAATATAAGTTAATGGGGGCTTTTAATTACTGAGTTCAGTCTTATCTGTGTTGCTTCACTACGAGGTGCATGCATGCTAGAGTGGCAGATGGACTTTAGAAACTGTCACAGATATATTGACGTAAGGAAGTCTTGTTCATTGAGGGTTGGGTTGGATTGACAGGAGAAGATGAAAGCTATGACATTTTGGAGCTTTTAAATATGATTTTCAAATAACCATGAAATAATAATAAGGTATGGATGAAGTGCTGTAAATCTTTTGAAGTTTAAAGTGCAAACCTTTTAAATTCTTGGCATAATGGCATTATGCCATTACAGTGTCATAATGTGATATGAATTTATATCACTAATGCTACACTGAGGAATGTTGTCTGCCTGAACAGTAATATCATGGAGTTAGTGATGGTACTGTAAAGGCAATGAAAATGAACAGGGGTTTGAACTTCAGACTTAAACCAATTTTTCTGGAATGTAAAAAAAATGGTTGGAGTGGGAGGCATTTCAGAGATTTATAAAACCAAATGCCCAGGTTTTATCCTTTGGTTGAGGAGCACTCATATGAAAATTAATGTTCTCAAGGCTAAAGTGATACTGAAACAGTTTTTCTTGGGGGCACAATATCCAAGAGTAGGCAGAACAATTTTTGAAGCTCCCACTATGATTTACACACATGTTCTACAGAGGAAGTAGCAGAACTGTACACTTCTTTGTAAACTAGCAACGTGTATTTGCAGTTTCCAGCTCTTTCAATAACATATACAGCTTGTGTAATCCTTGGTGGAATGGTAGAAACATCTTCAGTGAAGTTTGTGGTGTTGCACTTGCTTCCTGTTAACCTCTAACATACAAGGTATTCTGTACTGGGGGGCTGTTTAGCAGAGAATGTCTCACCCAATATGAAGCTGTATGCCTCTTAGGTTCTGTGGAGAGCATCCTATCAAAATAACAGCAGTGTAATTGTTTCAGTCAGTGATGGGAGGAACAAATATTCTTCTGCTGTTGCTCCAAGGATGTAGAATGAGCTGGAGGCAATTCAGAAATGTTCATCCCTTTTAATTTTCTGAAAGCTAAGTCTCAACTTTTGACATCTAATTTCAGTTATTTGTGTTTTTTATGGGTAAAATTCAGCATGTGAAACTATTGTGAAAATTGAGACATGTTCCATTTTCACATGCAAGAAGCAAACTGAACTGGAAGATTCAACAAGCTTGCAGAATCGGATCTCCTTTTTAGTTTTGGAAGATAAGATAGAGGTTAGATGAACACAATTAAGACTGAAAGGTATGCGGAAGATGAAGAGTTAGACCTAGAACAACAAAGCTTGTTATAAATTTGCATTATTGTATATGTTCTCTAAATAGAAATCATTAAATAAAATCAGCTGCTTTGAGCAGTGTTGTGTTACAGCTGAATAAGTAGCCCAGTTTATTACCCATGTGGTCATTTTCTTTAAGTTTCAGGCTTTTATATTTTACTTCAAAGCAGCAACTTGAAAATCTGTCTTGGTTTTAAGATAAAGGGATTTTCCTACCACCGCATATAGGGATAACAGTATTAACATTTTCTTCCTTCATTAATATATTAATCAAAACATACTTCAAAATGTGGATCTAGAAAATGTCATTACAGAAAAAGAGAATGATTTTCTGTAATTACCCATGCAGATATGATAGATCTTTTTTATGAACAGATATGCCAAGGACTGTTCTAATTCCAATGAATGCAGCATTCTAGGGGTGTTTGGGTGTTCACTTATTCTTAGAAAAAAATCTTAAAAGTTTCATGAAAATTAACTTTGGGGAGAAGACCCATCTACTTCTTAAATATCCTGTAATTAACACCTTGCCCAGTTTCCTAAGCCCAGTTCCCATGTAAAAAGAAAAAGGAAATAAATATCCCAACCAGTAATAAAAATAATAGTAAAATTAAAATAAATATCCCAACAAGTAATAATTTGCAATTGGATTACTTAGAGGTGTCTAGATTCTCAATTTGTATATCAATCAGAGGGAGTCAATCACAGTAAAGTAAAACAGAGAAACCAGTTCATTGTGGGGTTAACAGTTTATTGTGGTTAACATGGTATTTAAGTATAAATAAAGTATTTTGATCGTTATTTCTTCTAGGACTGGTTATCTGGTTATTCTGCAGATTATCTAGATTCCAGCAGGCTCTAGGACCTGGATTGTCCCTGCTGATGAATGATATTAAATGCAGAAGCAGCAAAGGCAAGTGACCTCAGAGGGCATTTATATGCCTTCTGAGTTCAGTTCTATTGCCGAGTTGCACTGTGGTGGTGACACTCACAGGAGTGAACTCAGAAGGCATTTAAAGTTTAAATGCCTTCTGACTTCTACTCAGCAAGTGAAGCTGAGCCCAAATAAAAGCTAAATAATATCGGCTTTTATTCGGGCTCAGCTAGATCAGGAGCTGAATCAGTTTAGAGAATCTGATTTGGCTGAATAAATACCCGAATAATACCAATAAGGTATTTTTGGGGTATTTATTCAGCTAAGTATATATCCAGTGCACACCCCTAATTGAAACAGATTTCCTCAAGTGTTACATATAGGGAGAGGGGTTAGTTGCCAGGAAGGGCTAATTAGAGTCAAGATGCATAAGTACAGCTACGATTGGGATAACAGTATTGGTAAGGTCTGTGAATAGCAGAAATTTAGCATACAGATAATAAAAAGAGTTAACAGATGAGAGAACTAAGTTTGAGTCCAGTGGCACCTTTAAGACCAACAAAGCTTAATTCTGGGTATAAGTGAGAACTGAGTTACTTAGCATGTGTAGAGAGATAAGAATCTGATATCATTTTTTAAACCCTGGGGTTCCATTGTCCTGAGTGTTGTAATAACGTGTTGTTCCACAGTCTCCCATCCTAGGCTGTTTCTGAAATTCCTTTGCAGTAAAACAGCTATTTTGAGATCCACCATTGACTGCCCTGAGAGGTTGAAAAGTTCTCATACAGCTTTCTCGGTTTTGTGATTCTTGATGTTACATTTGTGTCCATTTATCCTTTGGTGTGGAGTTTGAGCTGTTTGCCTTATGTAGAGAACTGAAGGGCATTGTTGGTATTTAATGGCATACACTATGTTAGAGGTGGAGCAAGTGAATAAGCCTGAGATGGTGTACTTGATGTTGTTAGGTCCAGTGATTATGTTGTTTGGGTATATGTGGCAGCAAAGTTAGCATTTGGGTTTATTGCAAACTCTGGTACCAGTGTCCATGTTTAAATTAGACGTTGTATTATTGTGGGTGAGGAGTTGAGCATTTTGATCCCACATGACCTTTATCTGATCTTCAAGTATGCATAGAATTAATGTACAGTGTCTGTCTTTATGCAGTTATATCTTTAGGAGAGGGGGAACAAATGTCAGTGTACCTCTGATCTTACAGATCTTAGTAAAGCTAGGATAGATTTATTGTCATGAAACCTCATTGCTATTAATAGATCCTGGATTTCTCCCAGTGCTTATGGACTCATGATAAATTCTTATACAACAGCCTCTTTACATCTTGATTCAATTCAGCAAGTGCGTGAGGTAAATTTTAATACCCATCAACAAAAAAGCTACTTGAAAGCAGTGCTATATAACTTTTATTTTTACAATATTATTATTGACAGCAAATGTTGAGCTAAATCAAAGCTTTCTCATGGTGACATACAGTGGCTGCTGTTGAAAGCCACATATTTTATATTCATGAAATCACATTTACGTTTTTCTCTAGAAACTCCAATAGGTACAGGCATTCAATCCTAATAGATTTATATCCTCACTTATAACAACTGATGGCTTATACTTTCCTTAAACATCTTTCATGGACTTCCTCCTATTCAGTGAAGGAGAAGATCTGGGTTGTGTTTGTTTTTTGAATAGAAAGGAAATAAAATGGCAAGTTGCCAATTTCTCAGTTTCTAAATGACTGTATGACTCAAAAGAATGCAGTTTTCCCCCCATATAATTTCTGTTTTGCTTGTTTCTGAAGTGACTCCATGAGCGTCCTGATGGACACTCATGTCTTCTGTTCCTGCAGTAGTTCATGACAAAAGTCCTGATGGAAAAGACTGCTAGTTACTAATTCAGTTTTTCTGAAGACAAATTCCTTTGCGAGATCCAATCTTTATGGGATCAATCTTTATGGGAAAAGGAAATTAGATAATTTAGTACTAACACAACTTTTTTCACTTGAATGTACTATATGGTTTCAAAAAGTTGTCCCTTTAGCTACCAGCTGGTAAATCAGAATGAGGGCTGCAAACCCAGCAATATTTGCTGATATACATTGTGCATAGCCATCTGATTTAGAGAATTTTAACTGAGTTCAGAGTATAATCAGAAGGAGTGCTGAGGAGAGAATCAGGAGAGATTGGCAGTTTTGAAACTGACTAGAGATATTTTTTTCAATCCACAGAATGAATCAGATCTTGTAACACACACACACACACACACACATCTCAGGTCCTGTCCATACGAGGCCTTTTGGGACGGGAGCGGGACGGAACGGGGGCGGAGCAAACGGGCACGATCCCACGACAAGATCTGGGAATCGTTGCCTGCCCGTCCCTGTTCCGTCCCAAATGGCGATACCGCGCTGTAAAAAAGAACCACCTACCTAGGTGGTTGTATCCCTTCCAGCGCCGCAAGCTGGGCCGTGGGATCGGGCGGCGCGTCCTTGTGCCGCCGCATCCCGCCCCCCGACCATACTGCGCATGCTTGAGCATGCGCAGTTCGGCAGCCTCCCCCTCCCATCGGACTTTCCTCCCCGGCATCTGATCATGCTGGGGAGCGATGCGCCGCGGCTGAGGGGATCCGTGGGATCCCGCCGCGGCGTCTCAAGTTCGGTGCGGCTCTGCTTAGCCGCGTTTCAGCCATTCCATGTGGCAGCAGCCAAAGTAAGTCTTTTTTCCCTTCAGTATTTCCACAAACCATCCGGGGCTTGGGGAGGACTTTCTTGATTCTATGACTGGAGCAGCTCCTGTTTGCCTCAACTATTCTTTTTTCTGATGTTTTGGTTATTTTTATGAAGTGGAGTTTCCCATTACCATTCTGTTTGTTATCCATACTAGATTAAGCTGTCCCAAATGTTGGTTCAGAGAGGGTACCTGAAGAACAAATTTTTCTTACACCATTTGGATGCCAAACAGCACTGCAGAATAGGAGGGGAACAGAGTCAAATGTCACACCCAGATGCCATGAACTACTGCAGGAACAGAAGAAAAGATCACACATCAATGTCCGTGCTCCTTGCTGGATGGGGGAGGGAGGAAGTAGGCACAGTGCTGCTGCTAATGTAGGCTATATGCTGTGAATGTGAACTGCATAACTCTAATGCTTCATGTTCCACCACTGCACCACCACTCATGCCAGTAACGGATGGGGCTACTACATCTCTTGCCTGCTTCCTTAAGATGGCCAGTAAGGCTTTTCTGTTCCTTCCAAAATCTTCAAGGGAGTGCACTTCATGGGGTCAAATGTCTCCCCCAGCTTTCTCTATAATGTTTCCAAGTCTTGTTAGAGGAGGAAGCCAAAGTCTCTCACTGTCTGTAACTCTGTCTTTCCTTATATGCACCAAAGTCACCTTTATGTACTTCCCAATTCTGTTTGTAATTCTCCTTCAGTAGTGACTGTCACCTCTGTTTCCCCCCTTTTCAGTGGTCCCTGCACCCACTGCTGCCCAGAGGTACAACACCCAGGGGTTTATAGCAGTGACCACTGAGCAGTCTAGGATGTGGGTGAGGAATCCAGGCAATGCTTGTTAACTAAAACAGCACTATAGAGGCAAAGAAGATTTTCAGGGTATAAACTTTCAAGAGCCAAAGCTCCCTTCATCAGATATGAGTTGGAATGGAGACCTCTGAGTCCTGATATCCCAATCAGAAGGTGGGAGGGATGTTGCAAAGAAGGAACTCAGGATACAGAAGTTCAATGCCCACTGTAATCAGAGCAGAGTGGGAATGACTGGGTACTGCCTTCTGACTGGGATACCAGGACGGAGATCTCCATTCCAACTCATCTCTCCTTTATTATAAAGGAGTTTTGGGTGCCAGAATTCTAAAATGCGCCCCGTTAGTGTATGGGCCGATAGGCTCCGTCCGCCGGCTTCCCCCCCTCCAGCCCCCATCCTGCCCAGCGAACGGGCCCTGCACGGCCCGTCCGCCGCCTCCCTCCCCTCCAGCCCCAATCCCGTCCGC